GTGTGTAGCCAAGTCTGATTTCCATTTCCTGTGAATCATAAAACACGCTCCGTTTTCTTTGTCTCTTGAAGAAGGAAGGGAGAGCTGTTTAATTTTGGATCACGTTTATTTTAGATATTCTTGGTTTATTTTTTGTTGCTGTGAGATTTGGCGTATGTTGCAATGCAGATTATCTTAATAGGCCTTTTAAGGTTTTTCTCTGTAGGAAGGTCATATCAGATTCGCTGAAACAAATTCATATTAGGCATATAAAGTTACTTGATATTGTAAAGTAATTTGACGTATTTCAGGGATTCAAAAAATATAATATAAAGGCAATAAAGAGGAAAGAAAAAACATATATTCGAAATTATCAATTAAAAGAACAACATAGTAAATCCAATATAAAAATCGCAGTTTTTGGAGTGGTAAGGGTTGGCTAACTATTTTTGTATGATTAAAAGAAGTGTTCGCTTTCATGCACTGTCCAGTTACTTCATTTATATCAAAACAGGTGAAATTTCTTAAGAATGGCCTATGCTTGTTGGTGACTGATGAATTAATTATCAAACATGCAAACATTCATAATTAGTGAATCATATCAGCCAATCTTTGTGGGTCACTTGTTACCTCAAACACGACCGATATTACGAAAGTGGACAATGCACTCGCTTGCAAAAGCAACTCATAATGTAGATCTCTCATTTTTATTAATCTTGTAATCCAAACTCGAATATAACATAAACCAAATTTCTGATTAATATTAACATGCAATGATCTTTAGTTGCCGCCCTTCCAGTAAACGACGATGAACGAGCTCTGAATCAGCAATTGCTGGAGGCTTTCGTTCCCTCGGCGCCACAGCCTAGCACGGGCACAAGAACTCAAGACAGGAAGCTATGTTAGGGCAAATATAGCTCGTAAATTCCACTCCGTTTTCTAATTGTGATTTACGCCGCCTCCCGATAGCGCCTCCCATAAACGTATCTCTGTTCAAGCTTCCCTTAATCGTTTATTCAATTATGTGCGAATATCTTAAGGGTCATTTAACTCGCAGCCGCAATGCAATTACGCCCTTATATGGGGCTAAGAGCTGGTAGTCTCCGGAAATCATCCATCTTCTCGACGCGCTCAGGACACCTTGTTAACACGCGCTATAAACATCCCCGCAACACAAGCACGAGGGCATTGTTAACCAGGCCCTCCTCTCACCCCCCCCCCTCCCGCTCTCTCCCCTCCTTCTCTTCATCCTTCCCCCTCCCACTCGCTTCCCTTCTTCTCCTCTCATCCTTCCCCCTCTCCCCCTCCGGCTTTCTCCCCTCCTTCTCCTCTCATCTTTCCCCCTCCTCTCTTCTCCTCTTCCCTCTCGCTCCCTCTCCTCTGTCTCCTCTTCACCCCCCCCCCATCCTCTCCTCCTTCTCCTCTTCATCCTCCCGCTCCTCTCCTCCTTTTCCTTTCTCCCCTCCCTCTCCCTCTCTCCTTCTCCTTCCCCTCCTCCCCCTCCTCCCCCATCACCACCAGCCTCTTCTCCGTTCCAAAGAGCTGACGAAGTAATTGCTGATGAGATATCAGAGTTATTTCGTTAATTGGATGTCGGTTTTTGAAGATCATTTGGAGAAATCAGAAGCCCGACCCGGCGCGCGCCCGCCGACCATCTGGCGTCGCGGCGCCCGAGATTGCAGGCGGCAAGTGTAGCCGCTCGTGTCCATGATAAGAAGTCAGCTGTTTAAGTCAAGTGGCGCGGGTTAACAGTGTACCGGATGGAGGCGATGTAATAAAGATTCGGGCCAAGACAAGATTGTAAATTAATTCCATCTTGAGCGACCGAGATTCATATATCTGGTGGCGGGTTGCAGGTGCAAAAGACAGTTGTTCAGCGTCTTCTAGCGCGCGTCAGGGAAGCTCGGATGACGGTAATTTGGAGTAAATAAAGTTATTTAGCCGCGGGGTCGGCGTTTGCGCACAAATGAGGGTATTCAGCAACGAGGCAATTAGGGAAGGGCAAAAGAATCGCAGGTCAAGAAAGGTCAATCCCCGAGGGGGAACCTCTGCAATTTGGCTTCTTGAAAAAGCAGTCGAGTTGCGGGCGTCGGAATGAACACTCCGTCGGCGTCATATTAAGGTTAATGACGTGGCCCTTGATCCAGTCTCTGCAAGGGTGACGGGGGTCGTGTTCAGGAAGAGAAAAACCCAGGCCGTCCTTGCCTCGTCGACGCGAGACCCGCTCACCGTCTCGCCTCCGTCAGCCTTGCAAACCGCAAAGGGCGAGCCATACTGTTTGGCCGAGGGCGGGGCAGCAGCGGGCGAAGTGGCTGTGAGTGACGATCTCCTAAACGGATGATTGGCCCTTAGCAGGCCGACACGCGCCCGAGATCCATCACGGCTCCCTCGAGAACCGGTTAAGCCGCAATTATTCCGTTATTACCAGGTTATGCCTCACCTGTAGACCGGATGTCGCGAATTACGTGGGGGGGGGGGGGGCAGCAGCGCCCGCCGGCCACGCGCGCCGCCTGCTTCTCAG